CTAAAGAGAGATAGTGCTCCTTCTCACAGGTGCTCTACCCAAAACGTAATTTTGGGCACTAACTGGCAGAAAATAGAAGGAGAACTTAAAATATATATATATATTTTAATATATATATATATATAGGGGAAGGACTTGAAAAGCACTGAACTATGGGCTGCCCAGGACCACAGGGAGTCACTAGGCTGCTATCTAAGCAGTGCATTAGGTCTTCTCATAAGAGACTTGCCTGCAATGTCACAGGAAAGCTGGCAMAGCAGTTACTGGAACCCAGGTTTTAGATTCATATTTTGCCATTCTTTTTTCTTCATTTCTTTTTCTTTTTTTCACTTTTTATCTGTTCCTTTGTATGGATGTGTTTGCTGAATACCTAGATTATCTTTTTCTGAGAACCTATGGTTAGAGGAAGAGTCAAGGGCACAGCAGATATTGATTATCTGAGTTTCATTTAGACTTTATAAAACAAGTAACAATTCAATAGGATCAGTCTGSTATTTTTTTCACATTTTATGGATTTCATTAAGCAGGACAAACAGGCAAAAGTCCTGGTAAGCAACTTATTACTAGGTTAATTTACTAGCCCTTCACCAAAGCAATTAAAGATGGAACAATTCAGYGACCTAGTTCAGGACCCAATTAGGACCGAATCTGTAAATCAATAGGTTTAAATCACTCCTGGAAGAGCACAGCTAACCAAATCAAACAATGAGSCCTGGTGATAAACAGAATTACTGTTTTGAACTTGCCGTGGGAGAATTTAAAAAAACAAATATTTTCCAGCCCAGGCCCCTGCTCACCATATTGCAGCCAGGTGAGTGGTGGGCAAGGCTGGTGTAGGTCCATCTGCTGTTGTGGGGCATTGAGTAGGGTGCTGCAGTGGAAGAGCCCTGGACCAGGATGCAGAGGCTGTATCTAGCTCCAGGCAAGGTATCTCCCATGGCTTTTGGAAAAGAGACCGCTTTAGTGATCGAGCTCAGGTGAAGTGATCAGGCAACAGTGGGAAGCTGCTAAGGTGAAGTTTCCCCAGCAGATAATGCTTCACCTTCTCCAACACTTAAGAACTTCCTGACCTTACATCAATTCCCTCTCCAGATACTGAAAGTTTGTCCTTTTCCTTTTATTCTCACATGAAATACAATACAAATTCCTATTAGCTAAGTACTTGAAAAGACATACTTTTCTTTATAGGCTCTCCCACCAAACCTTCAGCTTCTGCTAATCTTGTCACCTGCCTTTTGTCACCTAACTGATGTACTAAGAACGGACTGGTCCACAGGAATGAGCCTCTTTGTGTTTCATTTGTCTCTACACTCTCTTTTTTCCTATCCTATATTTTAATTTCTGTCCAGATTGCCAGAAAAAGAACCCCGTTTTCCTCCCAGCAAACTCCAGACAGCCCCATGTGYTGCATCCCTGTAACCCACAGGGGAACAGCTGATGTCTGCAGAATAAACACCTCTATTTTGCACTTTCTACAAGGTCCAGGTGAGGCTTAGAGACATTAAAAACTGATGGGCTGGTCTCACTTTGTGGCTTTAACTTCAGTGGCACGGGAGGCAATAACTGACATTTCAGAAGATATTTCAAGCAAATGAAAACTTTAAACAGCTGTGGTGTAAACCTGATACATGATGCTTCAGTACCAGAAGTACCTGTCCAGCTGGCCTCTAACAGAAGGAAATACTTGTTCAAGATTTATGAATCATCTCTGGTCATTGCTAGACTGAGTTAGGGCAAGGATGTGACCAAAGTTCTTGCTGCCCCCGAGAAAGAAAACAAAAAACACGCGAGAGTCTCTGTGGTGCCAAAGAAAGCACTAAGCTCATGAGTTGGATGGGAATGACAAATTGCCTCTCAGCTCTACTACTGTTACTAATTTCCCTAAATAAAACACTTTTTGAAGGAGGTAAATGAGCCATTAATTGACCACAACTGTATCAGAATGTTGAAGCTATAAAAAGAAAAAAAAAWCCCAAAGAAGGAAAAAAAAAAGGAAATCTGGAATTCAATCTAAACAAAGAGAGCTTGGGAGTCAGGAATTGAACTCGATGTAATACAGAAAGCCCCAATGCAAAACAATCTGGAAACACTCAGCTGAATGCTCAGAGTGCTGATCTGGACAGTCCTTCTTCTCTGTCCCCMCAGTTTTTAGGAATGGTTATTCTTTATTGAAATATTTCAGCACCATTAAGCCCCACCAGGACAAGGACTTGGGTGTGCTGAGCAGGGTTCACACACACAAGGACCTGTTTCCCAAGGAATTTTATGGCAGCTGTGAGGAAGCATGATGTTATGGGAACAGCAAGTTGCCTTGTCCCTGTGGCAGGTTACAGCATCCTTGGGATTGCTCTGGGAAAATGTTTTCTCCCCATGGAGTCCTCAGAGTGGTCCTCAACAAACATGTGAAAATATGGATTTAGTAGGTGCACAAACAACACAGGGGATAAGTTTGACCTTAAGAATGAAATGGAGTGTAGACATAACCAGGTAGGACCACCTACACTGCAGTGAAGAGAGTCCTGTAACTGAACGCCCTGTGCAAAACAGACGATATTCTAGAAAAACTTGACATAGACATTTCCTAGGTCCTAGAAATTGGTCCAGTTCAAACAACTATCACATGCCCAATTTGAACAACTCTTTCAAAACTCCCTTTGACATGGCCTAGCAATGTCCAATCAACCAGATCCCTAGTTTTCCTGTGACCTTGGGAATAGTGCTGAAGAGTGAAAGAGCTGAGGAAGAGGCGCCATACGGATATGAAGGAAGACCAATGATATATTGGTACATCAATGAGCATTGCCCAAGACAGAACCTCAGCACATAACAACACTCAAAAAGCCTTCAAAATAAGATGAGTTTCCCTCCATCTGGGTGAAGTTGGCTGTGGATCTTGGCGAGATTACAAGCACAATGTTTTCTATAGCTCCATCTCTGTCTCGACCCATTGGCTTCTCTGTACTGACATTTTATCTCATTTGTTCCAGACAGCCAAGAATATGTCACTGAACCCCTAACAGTGAATAAATGCACAAAGGTCAAGTAAATACTGACATGACAGGAGGGATCCTATCTTGTAGCATCAGCATTTCAGTTTTCTGTGATCTTCTGTCCCATTTCACTGGGAACAAGGGAAAGCTTGTACAGCTAGTACATACTAGCTGGCTGGAGAATCTACAGAGCAATAGGTGATCTTGAAATCAGAGAATCACAGGGTTTACTTAAAGTTGCTCACTCCACACCTTTCAAATCCCAAACCTCTGGGAAACATAGGCTGCATCTTTCTGCTCCAAGAGGGATGGACTTTTCCACAGATGCACCTTTGTATGGATGTGCTTTCCTAAAGCACATATGGCAGCTTTGTAACCTCCTCCAGGGAGCTCTAGCATCTAACCCTCGTTTTGTGGCCGTGATTGCATAGCACAGTTTTGAAACAGCAATCAAATCAGTTCTGGGGTTTGTTTCCTCCTTGGCAATACAAAAGCTATTTGGGTAATCTTTTTCTTATTCTGTTAGCATTGGCCATTATCACTGCTGTTCATTTAAGCTCTGTTAGGGAGCAAAATGTCTAAAACCATCTGGCTTCAACCTCAAGCAGAAACCCAACACACAATAGTGTTGGGAAACGTTAGTGGAGATGTCATGTCCTTTATGGGCTCTCACCACAGACTCTGCAAATCTCTGGGATGTGCTTTAAGGCACCTCTGTGGTGGAGGTAACCGCAACCCCTGGGAGATGTCGCTGCCTCCATGCACAGCCCAGCAGCACCGTGCTGTATAACAGCTTCAGGAACCATCCAAAGGGCAAATCTCCTGTCCAGCTGGTGTGCGAAGGCAATGGTGAGAAATTCCCCCTGCAACACGTGTCTGAACTCAAGACACTGGTGCTGAGCTCGGGCTGAGGGCTTCTTGCCCACGATGGCAGAGGGGGTTTGCTCCCGAGTGCCAGCAGGGCTCCAGTAATGTGAATTTATACAGAGGTGCCTGTGAGTAAACCAAGGGATCAAGTTCCACTGAGGTAAGGACTTGGCTATAAATCTGGGAGTCTTCCCTGTTGCAAACAAGCAGTTCTTAGGTAATCACTACGTGCGTGGCAGTGCGAGGGCAAAGCACAGCCAGGCCTGGCCCCAGACCACAGGGGTCAAATCCTCCTCCCTCCTAGTGAGGATGTCTCGTAAGTCATAAACAAGTGATCACCTCCTTTGTCCTTTAACCCATTTCCTTAAAAAAAGAAAATCCCACTCTCTTCCTTTGGGAATCACTGCATAAAACAGTGAAGAAGCCATAAAAGTGATTTACTCTGTTTCTTACAAGTGGGGACCCATGGTGCTCTTGAAAACAACATCACGCTTCACAGCCTGGTGATTCAATTGGATTTATTGGAGGAAAACAATTAGTCGTCCCTTTAAATCGTCATTATGATAGAAATCTCGATATGTATACATGATTGTCAAGGCAGAGAACCACTTGCAATGTAGCCCCATTAACAATTTGCAATACTGCAAACTCATTTACGCAGATAAAACTTTTGCAATGCCTTAATACATGCATGGAGTAAATACACATTCTCCCTTCTTTTTGGACACGGATGCTGTTATGAACTTGTATCAATCACAAGACCTGCAAGATTAGGCACACGGACATTCCTTGATTAAGATTTAAGCCTTTGTAGAAAACATGCTTGCATTTTCATTAAAAGTAAATGGAGGGATGTTTCTCATTGGGGACACCTGGGGAGTCATCGCTCTGGGCAGACCGGGCCTTTTGTTGGCTTGTTTGCGGTCCCAAAACAAATATATTTATATATAAAATGCCCCAAGCTGACCAAAATGCTGTTTCTCACTAAGAGGACAGTGCCAACGGGATCATGACAGTGGCATCGACCAGAAACATGAGCTCTAATTGAGCTAATCACCTCTTGTGCTCTTCCCCTTGGGTATAGTTGGGGTTGACCCATGTGGACCCAGCGAGATTTAACACGTGCGGTGCTGGACTCGGCTGGAGGGATGCAGATGAAGGATGCAAAACCTCGGAGCTCACCTGAGCACCAGGAGCCAGGAATCGCTGTGGTCTGGCCAAGGCTGGGCTTTCCATGGGATTTATGGCCATGGGGCCAAAGCCCTGTCAGTCCCTTGGTGGGGGTGTTTGCAGTATTGATGCTCACTCCCTACACCAAGCAAGCGTCCTACTGTGGTGCCCATCCCATCCCTCTCAGCTCTGCTTCTGGCTTCGGCAACGTGAGCCGCTTCCATGCTAATGCAACATTAATTAGCACTGAACCAGGTCTAACAATGCGGGCTGACATACACTGCCCTCAGAGAGCCCAGCACAAGTGAAAGCAAGTCAATTCGCAGGAAAGAAGGCAAGGGAATGATCTCCAGGTGGAAGAAGGAAAAGTGCCATGAGAAGCTCTTGGGCAGGGAAGTGGTGGTGTGAGCACATGGAGCTTCAAGGATTCACTCCAAGTACTTGGGTGAGGAGAAAAAAAAAAAGGTGCTTTGATACTGGGTGCTTTGGAAAGGAGGGATAATTAGCTCAGCTCTTGAAACTATTTTGCACGGGCAAAAAGATGACAGTAGCTTAGTCTCCTAAATGCATCTCATTCTGCAAGAACAAAACGTCTCATAGAATGGAAAACACCAAGAACTGTGCGAACCAGCCTTAGTTACAGCCTTAGTTCTGCCTAGGTAAACCAAACCCCAAAAGAGCAAAACACAGAAAGCCCCAAAGAGACATAAGAATGTGCTTCTTGGCAGCCCTGAGTGTTAGTAACCCAGGGAAGGATTTTTCAGTGTAGATGACTGATTTTTTTTTAACATTGTACTCAAAGAAGGACGGCCCCATCCTGACTCTGGATGGTTAAACATCTCTGGATGGTGAATCTTCCTTTGCAAGCTGCAGAGCATCCAGTAGAAAGAAAAAAACACATTGTCAGGCAGTACCTTGTTCACAAAATACTGGCTTTTGCATTTACTCAAACTTAACGATGGCTTTGGAGTTACAGATACACCAAGGCATTTAAGAGCAAAACCCAGAAGAAATCCCTAGAAGAAAAGGTTGGCCTGAATGTGCCAAAAGAAAGGGCCTGGGAGATACAGAAACAGCAAACAGCGGTTTAACACATGCAGCGCAGTATCATGCATTTACTGGACATTTGGATGTCACTGTTGGATCAGCAGTGTCACTTCTTCACAACGCTTGCAAGCGCACATGCCCTGCCTCTGCTCTCGAGCGTGGAAAAACGTGAGCGCTGCTCCTCTGACCCTGCCTTTTACAGAGAGGAGGGCAAAAAAGCACTACCCGGACAGATCAGTGGCACCGACAGTGATGGGAAAGGGGTCCCGAAAACCGGAGTCCAGGATAAAGACCTTATTCTTGACCACAAACACTATTTACACTGCTTTGATCCAACTGAGCAAAGTTGGAGCTACCAATAACCCAGAACTGGCTCCTGACTTTCAACCAGCAGTGGGAGCTGCCACCCCTGGGGCCGTATCATGCAGCAGCCTGTCCTGAACATTGGATCTAAAGGCAGGATGTGGCTCCAGGGATCGAGGGATAAATTAACGGGGTTGTGTAAACTACTGCTGGACAAGTCATCTGCTAGGAGTAACTTCCCTGGAGAAATCCCGCTTGCAAAATGCTTGGGAGCAAGTTGCCATTTCCTCCTCCCTGGGAGGAATTTTCCAGCTAATCCTCTGTGTGAGCAAGTCTGCAGCCGCTCCTGATTTCCATGTTGTTCTCCTGGGATACAACAGTCTCTGGGTGCATTTCCATTCTTTGCTTGAGTGAACGCAATTCTCAGCCTCAGGTTTTGGGAATAATAACCATGCTAACAGGGGCAAAACTCCTTTCCCAAGAACACCTGCTGGGCATTGCACAAGCTTGATCCTGTAGAGGCACCTTAGGAGGCACCTGCAATAAAGTCACATGCAAAGCTCAGCAGGTTCGCTGGAGTATTTTTTCAGAGTAAAATGCTGTGGCCATCAGAGGGGTGGGGGATAAAAAGCAAGAGGCAAAGCTGCGAACAAAGAGAAAGAAGGGGAAGGAGCTGAGGAAAACCAGTCACAAATCACAACCACGTTGGTGCCTGTAAAGTAAAGCAGGAAAGGGTGACAAACAGGGAAGAGTGGGCTGAAACCCTCCTGGCAGGAGGGAATTGTGGCTGGCTCCACTTGGGAAAGCACAGAATAATTTTTCTACCTGCTCCTTCACGGTAAGGTTGGTTGTGGATTAGGTTTGGATCTGCTTTTGAGCTAGGAGCTTCTGGCTAGTTATTTGCTCTTGGTTTCTGCACTGGAGTTTGGGACTCGCTGAGCAGAGGTACAAGTGGAGATGGGGGAAGAAAGGATACGCACCGGCACTGCAGCCTCCCAGCCATGGACGTGGGCTTTGGCCATGCCAGCCATGCTGCCAAGGGGCAGACACCTCCAGCCACATCTGCAAACCCGGCCTTGTAAAGACCTTGTGCGAGCGGGCTGGTCTGGCTTCAGCTAAGTCATCCTGGCCAGCGGCTTTAAGCAGCTTTTGACCAAGGGATAGGTAGTTTATGACTCAACAGCAATAAAGATCTCCACCCTTTGATGCCGTGAACACCTGTTGCATCTCCAGCCCTATTTAACTGAGACCAAAACAAATACACAAACAAATAAACAAAAAAACAGCTTCCAATCACCCGAAACTGCAGCAGAAAGAAACAATTCTGCTTTTAAGTGCTTCTGTTTCTCATCTTAAGCGGTTGATAATGTCAAAGAGAATGACAATAAATTACACAACCATAGCAGAATATTACTTATAGGAAGGAAGAAGCCAGGTTAGGAAGGACAGCAGAATATCCCTGCCAGTGCCAAAAACAGACAGCATCGGGCACGGAGAGGCAGCCAGCGTGTGGGACCTAGGGGTCTCCCCCGGCTGCAGGAGCCCAAATCTGCCTCCGCAGATTTTCTTTTTGCATCTTCTTTTTCTGCAAGATATGTTTGGATGCTGTACTTTGATTCATGCCCTCAGCCACTAAATGAGGTTCAACCTCAGATTTTGGAAGAGATTGCAAAGAGGGGATGCTCGAACCCAGTCTGATATACACTTGTACAAAGACCAACCATCTCCCTACCAAAACCCTGCTCTTGGTTGCGCGAGAGTAAATATGGAGAAGGCCAGTGATTTTATACAGAGACAGATGTAGTAGATCATGGCCAAGTGAACCATGGATGGGACAAGCGAGCCCCACAGCAAGGAGATGCCAGCACATCTGTCTGTCCAGATCTCGGACAGAAGACCTTACCAGGGAAATCATATGGAGCTTTGCTACCAACCTCAGAGAGATCTCATATCTGGCATCTTTCCTAAAATAAGAATATTGCAGCTTTTCAACTTTGCATGGCAACCTTAACCTGAGTAGGTCCACCACTGGCCACACACATGAGTAACACACGCTGGGCTGGACCTATAGATGCCCCAAACTACAGCAACCCAGTGGACTTTCCTAGCGATGAGCAGTTCTTGCAAGCTGGAGATCTGTCTCTCTAAGGTGGACTCAGCCACAAGGTTTCACAGGTGGTACCTGGACGTGCTGGAGATGGGAACTCCCAGGAGACTTGGATTCGGCCCTCTCTGGAAACTGGGAACAGGTTAATACTGAGGAAACTAGAGATTTACTGTGTGCACCAGCTCCAAGTGCCACCGAAGAAGTGACCTCCTCGAGTGGTGCCAGCGTTCCTTGGCACCTGCTTTGCAGCCCTTAGCACTCCAGGCACGATGGATGAAATCCTGGCAGAAGCCAAACAATCGAAGCAGGGTTTTGAAGTCTCAAGGAAAAGTATCTTATGGCTTTTCGCAGCGCGGTCACTGTTGCCGTATACATTCAGCTGTGTCTGTGACTGGCTTTCGGGGTAAATGACACGAATGTGGCAAGGGAGCCCATTCAAGGGGAATGGCTTGTGCCTCTCTGCACGACAGAGCAGGAGCAGCTGCCTCCTCCTGCCCACCTCCCTCTCCTCCTCCTGGAAAGAAAGCTGGAGCTGGGAACGACACAAAAGCAACCTGGAGGCATCCAGCAACTGAGGTCAGACAGTGATCAGGTCTCCTTTCTAGTCCAAGCTGTTTAATGCACTTGCTGCACAGCAGGAACGGTGGCTGGTCCTAAATGACCTGCCAGTAAGCGTGGCCTGGGAAGTGCATGTATTTCAGTAACAAAATAAAAGCAAAAACAGGGTAACTGAGTTAGCTTTTGCAGATGAATCCCTGGGGAGGAAGGGGAAGGGAGTCAGGGCTCCTGGGTCTCCAAGCTCCGCTTCTGGCCGCTGCTCCCGGCGATGGAGCCGTGATGCTCCCGGATCCCGCACTTGGTGCCTGGGAAGTGCTGTGCAGAGCTGGGAGAGCACCAGCCCTCTGCTAGGCTGCAAAACTGAGGCACAACATAGAAATTAAGGTCCAGACTTCTCCATTTGGTTTCCAGTATCTTAGTGGCTTCAGCAGCAGCTGCCCCAGAGCCTAAACCGAGCAGAGACCTTGACCAAGGCCAGGCCTGGAAGCTGCTGGGCTAAATGTCTCACCAAGGGTCACACAGGGACTTGGGGCAGAATAAAACCAGCACTCAGGGCCCCACACCATCCTTTCCTCTTGCCCAAAGGGATTTCAAAAGGGGTAAGAGCTGCAAAACGGGACTCTGCTCTACCGGCTCAGCTCCCACGCGCTCCCGAAAGGCACCAAATCTGAGCTTCCAGCTGGGGGCAATTCCACTCTTGCCATGGCTTTCAAGGAGGAGGAGGGGAGGGAAAGCAGCAGTTTTTCTTAATCTGAGCAGTATCAGCTCTGCTAAAGCCAGACAGATTTGCAGTCCAATTTGAGGCGTTAAAAATGGCATGCCATTGCAATCCTCCTGTGTTGCAAAGTTAATGTATACTCCTACTTACAGAAATAACCTATCCTCCAGCAAACTGGAAGGAGGAACATTACTGGAAGTACTTTTTAAAAGAAAAAAATATATATATATAATGCTCAGAAAAGTATCTCTATTTAAATAATCCAGTTGAGATGTTTGTAGTTAATGGAAAAAAAAAATACAACATATACTGTTACCTACACTGAGAAAAGAGTAAATCGCTGGGGAAAAGAATGAGTGTTCATTAGTTAGATCATTGCTAGACTCACATATATATATATATACTTATATATATATGTATATATATGTACAGCACCAGAGACTGTTAGATCCTTTCCCCCTGGAGTCATTGCAGTTTGTGATAAATGAAACATTTCAGAATTGCAGTATAAAATATGGCCATAAAAAATCTTCTTTCTTCTAGTCCTTTGCCGAGCGCGCGATGCAGGGTGGGATCGCTCCGGAAAAGCCGCCGGCGCCGACAGCGGGGCCGCTGCTCCCGCCTGCCCCGTCACTTGCTCCCCGTGTGCACTGTGGTCACTGTGGTGGGTCTGGGTCTCCGGTCCCCTCCTACCGCAGAAACGCCCGAAGAAGCAGATGAAACAAAACTACACAGAGTGGATGGAGACATACCTGAAAGGAAAGGCGGAAAGGTGGTTAGAAAGGGGATTTGGGGGCAAAGATGTGGTTTCCTTCCTGGGGTGCTTGAGTGGAGCACTCGTGATGGGGTAACCAGAGCTCCTGGTATCTCCTGTTGGCCCTGCCAAGCAGCCATTCACCCGCTCACACCTTGGGATGATCATTGTGCATATGTGGCCCAGCGATGAAAACATCCCATTTTGGTATCTACTAGAACAATTCCCCAACCCCAACTCTGTGGTGAAGACTTTGGCTTCATCTGATGCTGTAAAGAGGCCTGCAACTCAAACACTCCACAGGAATGGCACTTGCTCGGAAGAGTTCTCCTCATGAGCACATTCAAGGTGACAAAACTTTTCTCATCACTGTGATGTAACTAAATGAACTGATTGCACATCTAGACTAAAGAACGTCCCTTAGCATCCTGCAAAGCTGTTGATAAGGAAGTACAGCAGGCCCAAGAAATTGGCGAGTGACAATAAATCTTGAGGGGAATAGACTTGTGTAGCTTGGAGGTCATCCTAGCGACATCTCATGTCACTGAAGGCTTTATGGTTATACTTCCAGACTATTTAAGCCCAACTCTTAGCCGAGCAGCTGCTTTTGAACTAATCAAAAAACTCTGATAAGATTTTTTTTGTGCAAAATTATTTTCTTAACTAAAGGATAACGGCAAGTTAAATCTCAACCACAGCTTTGAAAAACACAACCCTCTAAAATACAACTCCTAAAAGCCCAAAACGTGCTTGGTTTTGTAGGAGTCTTGGGTCCACTATTCCAACACAATCTCAGCATTTTCTCTGGAAAACATTAACATTGAGAACTACAATATATCTTAGCCAGAATTCCCAGTGCATGAACTAGCCCCTCCATGGGCTGACGAGTCCCCACACAATTGCACCTCTGATTTTCCTGGGTTATGCAGCATCTTGTGCAGTCGGCAGCCCTGTGGGCACCAGTGTGCAAGGAAAGCTGAACCCCTAAGAGGAAAGCAATTGGAAATATGGCTAGCTTTTTTCTCTCCTGGTTAGTAAGTGATGGGTAAAAAAATATGTGGATGTATTCTCAGTCTACAACCATGTGTATACTCAGGATCTTTCTGATGCTTGTTACAACTTAATATAGTTTTCCATTCTTCAAGGTGGTTACTGGCATCTCCAAGCCGATCTCTTTAATTAATTTCTCTGGGAAAGGAAAGATCTTGTGTACTCCCTGACAACTTTTTATTGTTGCTGTTGGATTTAGCTTGGGATGCTTGGGAATCTGTAGATATTTTCCTGCTTTACATTTCAGGCATTAAAAAAAAGTTCAATTGTCTCAGCATATCTGGTTTTACCCTTTCCATTCTGGTTGACTTATCCATCACTTTAAAATATTCCTTGTCCTGATGCTGTACAGGACCTGCTGAATTCGGCTGTGGTTAAATGGATTTTGTTCTCTTCCCAGCTTTCTGGTGCAACAGACATGGGTACTTTCCCATGTCTGTTGTACTACTCGGGAATAATAATTAACAGGAACTTGAGAGTGTTCATTAATGGGATGCATGTAGTCTAATTATCAACTGGTTTCATTTAACAACAAAACATGCTCTCAGATGCTCTGAACCTAACTGAGGTCCAGCTCCACCATATTGAGATAGGAACTAAAGCAAGGCTGGCTTCTAGTTTAAAGTTTATCTTCTTCCATTGCAAGATGCAAAAGTCTCTACAAGTGGGCAGATGAGACTGTTAAGTGCTCAAAACCATAGATTAAATAAACATCATTGCAAATAAGCATTTCTGTCTTCCAAATGATCCTTCCACTGCCAGGTCTCATCTCCTGGCAGAAAAAAATATATACCCCAAGCATCTGACTTTACCAAGCAGCTTGAAAATCTCAATTATAGCATATGGCAAACAAGGAAGCAGGCCAAGACTCATTGTGGTGCACAGGCTCAGAGTTTTGCTAAAACAAATGAGCTTCTTAGTACTGGAATTTAATTTGGCCCGGCAAGAACAATGCTAGGCCAGCCGGGCAGCATCTGCCTCCTCTTTGAAAAAGGGAAAGGGAAAGTAGGCCAATTTTACAGAAAACTTTTAATCACAAAATTCAAAGATAAACACGTTGAGTAAACTTATTCAGTTTTCAACCAAATACAGCATGTTTTGCTGTGGGGGTCTGGCTATTTTTCCCCTGATGAAAAGCTCATATTCTGCACAAAAAGCAGTCTCCTCCTTTCCAAAAAGCACTAATCTGAAAACTCAGTTTCTTATTGCAGCAGCTTTTTGCCCTGAATTTTTTTTCCTCATTTTTTTTTTTCCCAACTAAAATAGAAGGCCGCAGTCCATTTCCAGTCTTCATTTTAAACATCTGCTCCAGCAGAGCAGAAACTGCTGGGACGGCATCTGGGCCATCAAAGAGAAAAACACGGTTCCTGTGGAGCTTTTGGGCTGCTCCAAGGCTGGTGGGATGAGGCCGCAGCCTCATCCGCCAGGACGGGGCGAAGCTCCCGCCGCGGCTACTCACGCTCCTTGCGGGCGGCTCCGTCGGGAAGCGGCGTGGCCAGGCTGAGGGTGCTCGACACGCCAGCGCTCGCGCTGTCCAGGCTGCTGCCCAGGTGCAACCGTCTCATGTGCCTCACGACCGCCGTGGCGTTGAACGCTTGCTGGAGGGAGAGAGAGCTTAATTTTTTACACCCCACGCATAGTATCCTACATGAAAGAGCCAAGAGGTCATGCAACCTGTGTGCAACTGGACCTACAACTTTGATAAACTGAAATCATAGAATCACGGAATCATAGAATCATAGAATGCTCAAGGTTGGAAGGGACCTCAGAGGTCATCTAGTCCAACCCTGCTGCTCACGCAGGGTCACCTAGAGCACGTGGCACAGGGCTGCATCCAAGCGGGTTTTAAAGATCTCCAAAGAAGGAGACTCCACAACCTCTTTTGGCAGCCTGTTCCAGGGCTCTGTCACCCTCACATCTGCATTTCTACACCAAAAGGGCAGCTATGCAGCTGCTGCTTTAGCAGGATTTTATCTCAAAACTCTACCATGCAGACCTGCACTTGGGTCACTTACTCTCCATTTGCTTTTTGCAAAGTTCTTTCGGATCTGAGCGCTGACAGACTCGTGGATGTTTTTGTTGAGTGCTGTATCACCAGCAATCCTGAAACAGAGAAACGAGACAGGTTTGAAGGGGTCTTTAGCCCTCCTTTAATGCTCTTCTTGCCCTCTTCTCAGCAGAGAGCTGGTCCAAGATGTGGTTGCTCCTATGGTGATGAGGATTTCACTGACACAAGGCCTCAGACTTGTTCCTGTTTTCACTGTTGGCAGCAGTGGTGGAAAATCTGGGGCAATAAAACCAAGTGTAGATAAGGCTTGGAGATCTGGCAGCTACAAAGAGGTACAACCTTATTTTTTGGTGCACGGCTGCTTTCTATCACTGTTACAGCCCCAGATGAAACATTCTGCCTTCCCCACCCCCCTCTTCACATCTAAAGATTTAACATCAACATGTTCAGACTACTTTTAGCCTCAGCCATGCAGCGGTTTCCAGAGCCACTCCAACCTGTCTGATTTCTGTTTGCACTCGAGATTTTCCTGCTACCCTGCAATGTACATAGCTATTCGTCATGATTAATACAAATTTACAGTAGACTAGATACATGGACTCTCTTACTAAAGAAGCACAGGCTGTACAAATAGCTGTTAAGCTGAGCATTACACAACCTAAAAACTTGTCTGATGTTGGACAGACAGCCTCTTGAACAGATAAAGATATATTAAAATCTGTGGTAAATATATATTTTTTTAAGGGAATTGTATTGATTCATTTAACTAGTTGAGACATGAGATCTACTGGAAGGGTAGGCACTGTAGTGTAGTGATGTTGGGCCATGTGCTGGGTAAATCCTACGTTGCTGTGTAAGGTAGATGAAGCAAAGGAAGCAAAGATTCCCTCCTTGGTTATTTGTAATGTGACACTTTCAGAAGTCAATTCTTTAGCCATAGTGTAGAAATCCCAAGTTTATTAGCGATAGAAATTGGTAAGAAATTCAGAAGAAAGACATTTTTTAGGCCCAGAGCCATCATTGTCCAGGGATCTCCAGTAATGAAATCAGAGACTACAGGAGACTCAGAGGTCATCTAGCCCAGCCCTCCCACCCCTGTTCTGTCAAAATAATTCTTGACAGATATTTGGCTTAGCAGTTCTTAAAGACCCCCAAAGATGAAGACTGAAAAGGCAATCTATCCCCATGCTTCACTGTTTCCCAGAGGACAGAGAAATTAGTTTATTCTCTGTCTCTGAAGCATCTTTTTACATATTTGAAGACTGTTATCATGTCTTCTCCCATCTTCTCTTCTCTAGACTAAACAAACCAATTTGCTCACTGTTTCTTCATAACTCATATTTTCTAATCCTCTGATCCAGTGAACCTCCCTGGACTTTCTCCAAATAGCCCACATCTTCCTTAAATGCACTACCAAAACTATTCACTGTTTTCCCAATAAGGCAGCAAAATGGCAACATTACTTTGTATTTTTTAAAGATCAAACTCTGCTTATAATACATCTCAATCTACTCTTTCCTTTTTATGTATCCCATTAATTGGAGACATTTCTTTCATTTTGCTCAGATCATTCTGAACTGTAGCCCTGTTTTCAGTGGATCAGGAGCTCCTTCTACCTTGGTGTCAACATCACAGCTATTAAGCGCTGGCTGGGATCCAGTCTGCTCTACATGACTCTCCTTCTTTCTGCTGTTATCACTCACCCAAAACACAAAAGGGATGAGAGACACTACTTACTCCTGGGAGGAAGGCAAGGGACATATCCCACATCTCTTGAGAATGGATAGCCACTAATCTCATCCTTTTACAAATGAGCTAATCTATATGTAGTTATTCAACAATATTCAGTTTCCTTCTGGAGTGAGAAGGAAATGAGACAAGAAGGAGTATGGTTCTCATTGAGAATAATCTATGTCCAGTTGGGGGAGGACACTTGTCAGATCACCACCACCTTGAGCAGACAGAAGAACCCTGAGCAAAATATTGTTCCTAAATGGCTAAAGAAATCTGACTCTGTCTCTTGCTTGCCTAAGCTGTTGATGGAGAAGGGGAGGTGTTTCACTGAGGAGAACCAGAAGATCTTCAGATCTTCCTCTAAAGAGGTTGCCTCCTCAACACCTCTCCTGCTGAGCTGAGGGAAACTGGCCTGGGTTTCTGACCAGGGACAGAGAGATACTGCCTTTTGGTGAGGCAGTATCTAGATCAAACATCATATTCTCTTTTCCATCACTAGTGTCCTTCACTAAAAATAGGGAATACTGACAGACTGCTGTGAATTCCATCAATATATTTTCCTAGACAGACAAAGAACCCTTGACACTGACAGCATGGCAGGTGGACCTCCACCCACCATTCAGTGCACTTTTCGTATTTCTTTAGCATTCTTTAGGCAGTTTCTACAACTTTATTACATCCACATCTGCATGCGACACAACGTGACATGGTGGCACAATGCAGGATGTCCCTGCCTGACTCCAGATCATTCCAACTGTCACCAGCAAATGCTATATCCTATTCCCAGAGGAGTTAGCATCCCGACGACAGACTGGCTGCATTGCCTGTCCTGCACAGCTAGTTTGTGCAGGTGCAGGAGTGTGCAGGCTCACACAGCTACCATGGCACTCTGCTCCATCCTCTGCTCCTTGGTGAAAGCATCTGCCTTCAACTGGAGCTGGGAGCCCTGACTGTCACTACAGCTCTGTGGAAGAAACCTAAATCATCTAGCCAAGCACTTAATAGGCAGGCAAATACAAGCCAGAGTGTCAGGCCAACAACCGATCATAAAGATCGAGCCGTTAAAGGAAAATTACTTACATTTGCAAGGAACAGCTTTTCCCTTTGAGGCTGCTAATGAAGCATTTTGCTTTATGAACAAGTGTGTTAACAAGCTGCATAAGAACAGATCGTATTTCCCACTTGTCAAATTTTATTTTGGAAACACAGGCAGAACCAAGTTCTTGGGGTTTGATACCCCTGCCAACTCTTCCAGAAGATCCTTCCTGTCAGTCTCCACAAGGATTTGAAAGTGCATTTTTGCTAAATGAAATTTTTCATGAGATATGTATCATATACAAGCTATACATATTTTTATTTCGAATTTAGGGATCATTTTCTGAAATGATGGCAAGGTTTGATGTGCTGATTTCAATAAGATTTCCAATAGTTTACAAACTGCTTCTACTATCAATATCTTTGTAAGGCAATTTTGGCAATGCTGGAAAAATGTTCTTTAGGATCTTGCTGTTTCTCAAGCAGGGAGAATAGGACATATTCACTTCACAAGTCCTGCCCCAAGGACAGACACCTTGTGAAGCCCTGGAAGATGAGAGTGATGGGGATCATTCCAGACCTAAGGTCTCTTCAGAAACAAAACCAATAATGGTTTAGATGACAATTTCTAATCAGAGCACAGTAACAACAATAGGGCTAAGCTAGTACAGCAGAGTATGTTAGAAGACATGACGTGATGCTCAACAGCACAGCCCAAAATGCAGCTCAGGCCACCAAACACTCTTTCAAAACGTTAACTGTTAACACTGAAACAGTGCTGTAACAAGAGGACTCTGTATTTATACTGTACTTTGCACATGAAGGATCTTCAAACTCCTGTAAAATACCTAAGGAAACACCAAAATTTGGGGGGTTGCCCATTCTCTGGTGGTGTTCTGGTGGCTTAAGGAAGGAGGCAAGAGAAGTGGAGGTTAGCAAATACAAATAATATCTTTTATTAGATCAGCTCCTGATCTAATAGTACAGCTTGAAAAAATAGATCAAGTAGAGCTTAAAAAAAACAGATCAAGTTTTTGGGCACACAAACACATTTGATGTGGACTTTATGAGCATCATCTTGTCTTTAATCATGAACTTTAGTTCCTGTGCTGAGAAGGTGATGTATGAAATTTAACAGAAACTAGTTTTACAGTGTAGCATAATCTCCCTCCCACCATTCTCCAATTTTCTTGGAGAAAATGATTCTCGAAGTTCACAGGCTATAAAATATCTTGCTTTTTTTCTTTAAGGAGAAAATTAACTTTATTACTCCCTCCCTTGAACTTACACAGCATTCCCTTCTACAGGAGTTAGCCACACTTGCTTTGAGAGACAGATATCTTCTCTTTTTTTCTCTTTTAGAAGTGGTCAGACCTATGTGTTATCTAGTTAAACTCTTAAGCAATAGTTCTTAAGTTTGAATTTAACTTTGAAGCTATCTATGTCAGGACTGAATGTCATTTTCTGAAATCTTGTTTTTTTCCAGCTGTGCCAGTTAGTCCAATAAGGTTTTACCTACCACACACACATACAACTGGAAGTAGGCTTTTATGTCTGGTCACTATTTTGCAGGGCTTGAAAATCCCTACATCCTGGCAGCTGTTTGGGGAACTTTATGTTGAAGTGGGTAATTCATTCAGTTGCAAATATGTAAGTGTCTACATCACATGGGATGCTAAATTGTATCTTGCAAAAACGGTCTCAGCGTAAATGTTAAGAGATAGAAAGGATCTAAGGACTGGGTTTCATTAGAGGTCTCAGAGTAAATGTCTCTGTAGAAGTTTATTTTGCAGCTGCTGACAAGGTTTCATGAAGTTTAGGAGTTAGATTGAGTATAATGAAGTTCTCAGAAATTAATAGGTGAAGTCTTCAAGCGTTTGAGCCAGTGGAGGGAGCTAAGGAGGCCCACAAACATGTAGAGCTGGATACCGAGAGCCACAATTTCATTATTTGCAAATACTTCCACTTTACATATACTCCTATTGAAGTTATCAGGGATACTTCCCTTGGATAACCGTAACAAAGCTGACTCTGCATACGAGAGGAATCTAATCTAACGATCATATATTATTTCATATAATCTAATTTATTTTACCTCTCTATCTGGATTTAGATCTATGACAGCAATTTATCTATCTATAGCTCTTCTAAGCTTTAGAAGGAACCTCCGACAAAGACGAAAACAAGAAGTTTCCTCGTGGATGACTCTGTGCTAACACACTGTGGGCACAGGTTTCTCCCTGCCCGCAGTGGCAGGCCGGGTCTTTCATCTGGTGTTGTTTTCTGAACCTCCACTCCCTGTAGGCAGCCAACCCAAACGTTGTGC